TCTTTTTTCATTAACTAATTAAATATTTTGGTATTTCTTTGGGTGCAATTATCTATACAGATTTTATTATATGAAAATCGATCCAATAAGATGTCATGTAGACAGTTAAAATCTCCTGTTATAATCTTTAAACCCATTGCCAGTTTTCAACTCTATTTAGTATCTGTCTCAGGAGACTCATTGGATTTTTATTAGGAAGGTATACGTTTACTAATGTGAATATTTCATCATTTATCGTACAAACTGTAATAAACGTTCCTTCTGGGTATTGATCTTTATATTTAATATTAACTTTTAAATCCTTCGAAAAAAAAAAAATTGCAACTCCACTTTTTTGCCACTACTTCTAGAGGCACACATTTTAATTGGGAATTCTTTACTATGCCATCTATTTTCATCTTTCTGGCACCAATGGGTCTCTTGAGCAAACACCACCTGGATATGTTCTTTTTTTAATAATCCTGAAATGCTCGTCTCATTTGTGGGATATTTAACCCTTGAATATTACTAGTAATCAATCTTACCATTATTGACTACTACTCTTCCTCTAAAAAAACTGAGCAAACCGGGAGACTCTCGCTGACAGGATTCTAAACATAAAAAGACACCTACAACAATATTAAAAATTACCCACAACATCCTTTCATTTCTCATTGAAGGCTCTTAAAAGAGTCATTTTGCTATCTACTGTGTGTACCAAATCTGTACACTTACAAACCTGCTAGGTTTGTTGCAGGGGGAGGAAAAAGAACTGACAGGGAATATTTACCCTTCTAAATTAGCCCTTATTTAAATAAAAAAATTTAAAAAAAGAATCTATCGTATTATTATTTGCTCTCTGACTCCATATGTTGGCAATTCTATTAAATCCATATCCATGTGTTGCCAGTGCTAAATCATTAATAATATTGTATAGCATGAATACTATCTTAAGCAGTGTTTATTCTACTTTTCCTGTGAGTTTTAGTTAATATTTCAAGTGTTTTATCAATATAATTCCGTGGTACGTTCATATTAATTTCTGAATTATCTATCTTTTTCGTTTTTCCATATCCCTTTGTAAGAAATTATGACCCTCTTACAAGGATATTCTTTTAGGGAATGTGTGACAAATAAGACATACACACAAGTGTATAATAAAATGTATTTTAAATATTCATTTAAGGATACTGTTAGATTTTAAAAGGATATACACAATATACATTATACATTATATCCGGTACATAATCAAAAGCTACATAATAAAAAGGCAATACTTAAACATTTAAATGCAGGTCTTCCCCTTGCGCCTTCATCTTGGGTAATCTGGGACAGCCTCTCTTAGTTCACCATGGCCCTGCTTGCTGCGTTGTCCTCTCCAAAGAGAGAGAGAAAGAGAGAGCCTTCCTTGGTTGTTGTCCTTTTAAAGACTGATTCTTGGAGTAATAAACTACAAGTCCCAGAATCCCTTTTCCTTCCCAAAAGTGGTTTATCCCGCCCTCTTTCTCCAGAGAGTTCTGTCTTTACACAAGTCTTTCCCTTTGATCTCTTCCCTCCAGCTATACTGTAACGTTCTGAAAGAAGTGACCAGTTGATTAGGTTTCTTGGTAGATTGGACTGCTTGGGAAAACACACACTTCCATGGTTACACCTAGATGTCTATTACTCTGATCTCCTGATAACATGCAAGGAATACTGGAGGGATGTAAGCTTTTGTTTTAGCTGGGTGTTGTAAAATGCAACTGAAAGCTTTGATCCTTATCACACTGTTATCAAGTAAATGACCCCAACTTGTGAAACCAGTCACATACACAGAAAGTTATATACAATATTGCAGTCTGGAATATCAATTTCTTACAGTCCCCACCTAGAGGGCGAATGACTCAACAAGAAAATGAGCCCTCTCAAAGAAATACAGTATTTGAATTATGTGTGTTTTAAATGATTATGTGTTTTACTGAGACACAAATGACTTGACAACCACATATATTTATAATTTAGGGAACTGCAAGGCATAATTTAGCCAAATCATTCAGGCACTTACAGTTATCATTTTTCACCATTAATTTGAACTCCTTCAGCCATATCCGTAACCTTTCATTACCCTCATAGGCTCAGCATCACTGCAACCATTAGATTTCACTCCCATCACGCTCAATTACCTGTGCCACCAGCACTGCTTCCACCACACTGTTCCTTTAACCCTGGCCGTGCTTACTTTGGGCTATTAGGCCTCTGACCTCTGCCCACCATGACACCTGGTGTATTTTCACTCCAACAGCAGTTAATTTGCTGTTCACTTACATAGTGTATTAAAGAGACCACACAAGGGAGAAACATAGTTTATTGTTTGGAGTGGGGATCTGAGTGAAGGTGTTTGTGCACGTTTATTGGGAGTTTATTAAAAGTTGTATAGCTGGAGTGGGTTTGTGTTTGAGCCCTTGAGGATGTTTAATAAGTTTTCGATAGGCCCTTGGCTTCCGGAAATTAAAAGATTCTTAGCACAGAAAGTGTGCAGTGTTACATTATGCAAATCACTAGTGGTTTGATTATCATCCTTGTCTCAGTACTACCGTCTGGATTCACAAGTGGTCATCTAAAACATTGTAAACACAAATGTGTGCAAAATGCAACCAGTATCAATGTGTACTAAGGGATACGTCCTCATAACAGTATGAAATAATTTACTATAACCTTACTAAAACCATAAATATTTAACCCCTTGTGGAAAACCAAATAGAGCAAATAGAAAATGCAAAATCATATATTGTCACTCACCCCACCTTGACTCAAAAACAATTTAAAATATACAAAATGGTCTAATTTGTCTATGCGCTATACCCCACCTTGAGAGTATAAATTAAAACAAAAACAAACAAAAAATAACCATTATCATTCTATTGTTCACCCAACCTTGACCCAAGGAAATGTAAAATATATGCAATTATCTGTTTTCCCTATATTCCCTTTAGAGTGTGAAATACAATAAAAAGCATAAGAAAACAACAAAATCAAAGAAGATGGAGAGAGAAAAAAGTAGATTGAATGCTACCATTACCTTCAGTCATTGAACTGTATACAAAGTTTGGCAGCGTGCAATCTAAAAGAAAACTGACAATGGTCTGTTGCCTTTCAAAGATTAAAATCAAAAATCGGCTTGAGGCTATTTGTGTTGGTAACCAAATGAAAAAAAGACAAAAACAAAAATATTTACTGTTGTAAACCAACAGACAGTTACACTATCACATCTCTCCAGTGTGATCAACGTATAAGCCTCACCTTGGCAACAATTCATCTAATCTAGAAATATATAAAATTAGTAATCCAGTATCAAAATACAAAAATAAAACATAGCTGGAAGCATGGGCGTCCGCAGGGGGGGGCAAGGGGGGGCACTTGCCCCCCCCTGGATTTTTCAGCTTGTTCTGCTATTTTTCGTGTGAGATTTAAAATGAACTGCAATACCGGCGCCGGCCAGTAGGTGGCGCTGTGTATGGAGAGAGACAGGGATAGGAAGCTGCATCTTATCCCTGCTTCTCTCTGCTGATTGAAACCGCAGGGGAGCAACACATGCAGCCAGAGACAGCCTACAGACTTGTGCAAAGCGGGGAGACTGAGCATGCAGCCTGCGCAGACTGGGGGGTGTGCGTTTCCAGATTTCCCCAGATCAGCAGCCTGGCAGCAGCCTCTCAAAAGCAGCCTGGAGTGATTGGGCAGCAGCCTATAGACAAGGGCAGCCTGGGGATTGGGCAGCAGCCTATAGGGATCAGCAGCAACCCCAGACGGTGCTGGCAGCCTATAGGGATCAGCAGCAGCCTATAGGATTGGGGAGGGCAGCAGCCTGCAGATTGCAGGCCTATAGATTTTGGGGAAGTGGGCCTGGTGACGCAGCAGCCTGATTTGGGCAGGGATTTTAAAGTGTTCAAGGATTTTTGGCAGCAGCCCATAGATTTTTTTTATGGGGGGGCAGCAGCCTATAGATTAGGGGAGTGAGGCTGGGGGGGGCAGCAGCCTATAGATTAGGGGAGTGAGGCTGGGGGGGGCAGCAGCCTATAGATTAGGGGAGTGAGCATAGGCGTGCGCAGCCTATTGCATTAGGGTGTGCACCCTAAAGCACAAACACACGCCAGGTGTATATGTATGTATGTGTGTGTGTGTGTGTGAGGGTGAGGGTGCTGGTAGTGTGCTATGTGGGTGACGGTATTTTTGTGTGTGTTTGTGAGAGTGCTGTTAGTGTGCTGTGTGTGAGGGAACTGGTAGTGTGCTGTGTGTGTGTGTGTGTGTGTATGTGTGAGAGGGTGTTTGTGTGTGCGTGTTTGTTCGGGTCCTGTTAGTGTGCTGTTTGTGTGCTGTGTGTGGGTGTTGTGTGTTTGTCAGGGTGCTGTTTGTTTGTGGGTGCTGTGTGGGTGTTGTGTGTGGGTTTTGTGTGTTTGTGAGGATGCTGTTAGTGTGCTGGGTGTGGGTGCTGTGTGTGCGAGGGTGATGTATGTTTGTAGGTGCTGTGTGTGTGTGTGTGTGTGCTGTTTGTGGGCTGTATGTGCTGTATGTGTGTAGGTGCTGTGTGTGTGTGCTGTATGTTTGGGTGGAGGTGGGGGCAGATTAGTTAATATCCCAGTCCTGCTGCCTTCCCTGGTGGTTCAGTGGAGAGTGAACTCTAGCCTGGGTTCTCTGCTGCCTCCCTCCATGCTGCTGTGGACCGGTAAGGTAGAACTTTGATCTCCCCACCGGCCCATGGAGGCTTAGACCAGCGCCGCCGCTCAATCCATTGGCGTACTGCGGGGATTAGGTTGTGCCCAGGCACACCCGACACACCCCGTGCGCACGCCTATGGAAGTGAGGGATGGGGGAGACAGCCTACATGAAGAGTCAGCAAGGAGCAGGAAGGTAAAGTAAGAAAAGGAGAAGGAACAGAAATGAACAGGAAGGGTCAGCAAGGAGCTGGAAGGTAAAGCAGCACAAAGGTAAAGTAGAAGGGGCAGAAAGGGTCAGAAATGAGCTGGAAGGGGCAGAAGGAGCACACACGTAAAGTAGGAGAATGAGCAGGAAGGGCCTGCAAGGAGCAGGAAGGAGCAGAAAGGGACAGCAAGGAGCACAAAGGTAAAGTAGAAAAGGGAGCAGAAAGGGTCTGCAAGGAGCAGAAAGGGATCAGAATGAGAAAGGAGCAGAAGGGCGCAAAATAAGCAGAAAGTAGCAGAAAGGTAAAAGAGCAGAAGGGGCCAAGGATAGAAAACAGTGTCAGAAGAAAAAAAAAGACTGTCAAATGAAGGAGAGGGAAATGAGATTGGAGCAGGAAGGACAAATGAAGTGAACCCTCCACTTTATTCTGGACACCACATCATAAGGCTTTGGTACCTGGGCCTGGCAGGGAAACGCTGGACCTTCTCATCTCCAAAGGTAAAAATATATCGGTGTTAATGTGTTCACTTTTATTTACTGAGTGTCAGGAAGCACAGAGTGCCGTTGGGTAGGGGTGTTGCTGATTGGCTAGAGCGGTCAGCTGGCACTCTAAGCCAATCAGTAGCTCCCCATTCATAAAAAAGTAAAATATTTTATGAACCGGGAACTAGCGATTGGCTTAGAGCGTCAACTGACCACTCTAGCCAATCAGCGGCACCAATGCCTGACGTCAATCTGCACTTCCTGACACTCTGTTTCAAAAGCCAAATACCACTGAGCGACCTGGAGCTGGAGGAAGCCTTTGGGGTTAAACCATTTGAGAGCGATTTAACCCCTTAAAGGAAAGCGAGCACCCAGGGTCCTTTAATTTGCTTAAAGGAAGACTATAGTGTCAGGAATACAAACATATATTCCTGACACCATAGTTGTGAAAACGCTATTCACCCTGGCTTTATGTGATACTGTCAAAAAGGTACCAAGCATGGATGTCATTACAATTATGCCCCCCCCTGGAAAAATTCCTGTGGACGCCCATGGCTGGAAGTGCAGGTGTGCTAAACTAATAAAAACAAAAATAATTTGGACCACCTGACTGTAATGAATGAGTTTAGAGGCTTATCCTTAATATGAAAAAAATAATATAAAACTACATATTAAGGTCCTCTATAAACTGGAACTGTACTTTCCTGAAATAAATAAACATGTTAAATTGTTGGTCTTCTCACAGGTCTATATTTGTCTTCCTTCTCAATTGGCATCATCTCCGTAGTTTTCTAAAAAAACAAACTTCAAGAGAAAGTTAATACCACACAACTAGAATAGGTCATTCAAGAAAAACTGTATCTGTTATCAGATTCTTTGTGTTAACCATCTCCTCTAATGTACTTAATTGTGCCTTGAGACAATCCAGTTTTTCAAGGAACTCATTTCGTTCACATGTTAGAGAAAGATTTTCTGCCTTTAGTTGTCTATTCTGTGCTTTAAGCACATGGTAGCGAATCCAAGGTCTTGTGAGGGGGATACCATTATTATCTTTTCTCTGGGATCTCCACCTAGGGTGATTATTTTTATTTCCCAGAGTCCATCTATCACACATGGGCCTTTCATGATGAATATGCACATCTGATTTACAAAATTTTTCAATATGTCCCATCCTACCACACCTAAAACATGTAATGGATTTTATATGTGGGGACTTTCTCTGATTGATATATCTGTGAGGTTGGGGACTTTGTATCAATGACACTTGCCTTTTATTTACTTTTTCTTGATTTAGTAAAATTGCTTCAGCCCTTTTTAAGCAATTCCGTATATTTACAAAGGTGTCCTGTGGGGACACAGTTAAACCAATTAACTCTCAAATATCTGGCAGTGTCCTATTAAGTAATGCTTTCTTATATGCATATTCATTCTGATCAGCATGTGCTCCAGGTGGAACAGTCAGTTTGAATAAAACAAATAACCTATTTACAAACCCTTGAACAGACTCCCCTCTCTTCTGAGCACAATTACCAAAAGCAAAATGATGATTTATTTCCTCTAGACCAAGTGCGTTTAATAACTCTTTGATAAGTTGTTGCTTGGTTCTAGGTTCTATAAATATCTCATGTGGCAGACTTGCTCTTAGTGACTGGTCTGTACTAGCAATTATAACATCAAAAATATCTAATTCATTTAAGTTCCTGTGGATTTTTTCAAATTGATCAATTTTTAACATAACATCTACTGGATCATCATCCAAGCGTATACATCCCAGTTCTTTGCTCAGTGCAATAACCTCTGTATGTTTTAAGGAATGGGTCACAGTAGTTTCATGTAGTACATTTCCCTGTGCATCCACCATGTGCTCTGTAGAGACTGGTGCCATTTTAGCAGGAATACTGCACTCACAATTACTATAATTATTATGAAACACCTCCATCTTTGTTGTACACAAACCTCCACAATTGGTTTTCAGCCCATATTTAGTAGCAGCAAAACCATTTCTTTTTGTTAGTTTACATTTTAAATCATCAATTTCTTTAAGGCACACAGAATGATCAGCCTCTTTCTGGCTGCTGGAAGCAAGGATTCTAATAGCACCCTCTGCATCCTTCAGCCTTTCTACAAGCTGCTCATTACAACTGTGCAATTCCTCATTTTCAAGACGCATTTGCTGACTACCTACACACAAAGCAGCAGCATTTTGCGCAGACAATTTAAAACCTTCCACTTCATTCTTTAAACTCAAAACATCTGCCTCTAATTTCTCTTTTTGCCTATTTAAAGATTTATACTTTTCCGCAATCCAACGGGCAGCATAAATCAAAGCAATTTTACCACTCGATTTGGACAATTTCTTTTCAATAATTGCCCTGGCCACATAATCCTGAGCATTAAGCCACGGATCTAATGCACCATCCATACATTTAATTATTGCTTCTGGATTAGACACCTTAGCAATCTTTTTCAATAAATTCTCCATCATTGACAACACACAATTCACTGAAATGTCTATACACAATATCTGAACAGTATCCAAAAGTAAATATACAATCTATACAATTATGAATATGCTTATAAATCACACTAAATCCCTCCTACCTCGGCTCGCCAATTTGTAAGAAATTATGACCCTCTTACAAGGATATTCTTTTAGGGAATGTGTGACAAATAAGACATAAACACAAGTGTATAATAAAATGTATTGTAAATATTCATTTAAGGATACTGTTAGATTTTAAAAGGATATACACAATATACATTATACATTATATCCGGTACATAATCAAAAGCTACATAATAAAAGGCAATACTTAAACATTTAAATGCAGGTCTTCCCCTTGCGCCTTCATCTTGGGTAATCTGGGACAGCCTCTCTTAGTTCACCATGGCCCTGCTTGCTGCGTTGTCCTCTCCAAAGAGAGAGAGAAAAGAGAGAGCCTTCCTTGGTTGTTGTCCTTTTAAAGACTGATTCTTGGAGTAATAAACTACAAGTCCCAGAATCCCTTTTCCTTCCCAAAAGTGGTTTATCCCGCCCTCTTTCTCCTGAGAGTTCTGTCTTTACACAAGTCTTTCCCTTTGATCTCTTCCCTCCAGCCATACTGCAACTTTGTGAAAGACCAGTTGATTAGGTTTCTTGGTAGATTGGACTGCTTGGGAAAACACACACTTCCATGGTTACACCTAGATGTCTATTACTCTGATCTCCTGATAACATACAAGGAATACTGGAGGGATGTAAGCTTTTGTTTTAGCTGGGTGTTGTAAAATGCAACTGAAAGCTTTGATCCTTATCACACTGTTATCAAGTAAATGACCCCAACTTGTGAAACCAGTCACATACACAGAAAGTTATATACAATATTGCAGTCTGGAATATCAATTTCTTACACCTTTACTACCTAATGTGACTAATTGTAGTGTTGAGGTGCTTCAATACTAACCTTAAATGTTTTCTAATTATTATCTTATCTAATTTGATATCTTTATTATTTAGATTCACACTTGCGTGACTATAACTATCCTATTTATCATTGTTCTCCTCGCACACCCATCTGAAAAAAAACCCAAAAAACCCAACTTATCGGTTATTATTAACACTCTAACTCCTTGTGTTAGCATTTTCCTTAAACCCATACAATATTGCTTATTCTAATTCCTTAATATCATGAGTTCTATCTTAAATAGTATTTCTCACATTTTATCTTTGTTAGTGTTAAAACTCAAACTAACATGAAAGTGCCTTTCCTATTCATCTTTAGTCTCCTCACACATACACATGGAAAATAGAAAAAGAAAAAAAAAGGTTATTAATCTTATGTATCATAAGCAGTAGTATCTCTCTTAAGCTGCAATTTTTCTTAGTCTCTCAAGAGAAGATTTTGGACTTATGCTTTGTAAATAATGATGTCTCTCTTAAGCTGCAGTATCAAAAGAAAAAAAAAGAGGGAAAAAAAGGAAAAATAAATTTTTTACTCTTTTAAGTTCGTTGTGATCCTTCATCTCTTAATCCTTTTCTTATTCACTTTTCTCTCTTCCTTTCTTTCATCTTTTACTCTTTCTTATTTTTTCCCTCTCTTTACTTAAACAGCGTTTTCAGCAAACATATTTCTCTTCTTCATCCATTCTTTGGCTTTAATGATTCGAATGTTTCACTTTGACCATCTTTAATTACTTTTAGCTTGTTCGGGTAAACCCAGGTGTATTTTATTTCTAGATTTCTTAAGATATTCGTATCTGGTCAGAACTTTTTCCTCTGTGCCCTCGTTAAGTAGGCTAGATCTTGAAATATCTTTATTTGTTTATACTCCTCTTCAGTTATGAGAGTTAAGCGACTTGCCTGGATTATAGCTTCTTTAACTTGGAAGGATCATAAATTTATTATAATGTCTCTTGGTAGAATATCAGAGATTATTTTTGGTTTAAACAGACAATGGAAATATTGTATTTTGACACATCTAGTTTTCTAGCTGTCCATAGTTTGCTCAAAAATTCAGGAATTTTATCTTGAGTGACCGACTCTGGTACATTTCGGATTTTAAGATTGTTCCTTCTTGAGCAGTCCTCTAACTCTCCAAGTTTAGCCTCCATGCTTCTCAATTTTATATTTAACTGTTCATTTTGGTCTTCCAATAATCTTTCCTGATTTTCTAAGGATATAATTTTTCTTTGTTTATGTGTAATCTATCAGATAAATCTGTTAGTTGTTTTCGAATTTCTTCTGTATTTTTAGTTGTTTGATAAGGTATTGCTTCAAGTTGAGTTCCTAGACAGTGCTTAAGAAAATCTGCCGTTATATAATTTTCAATCTGTCTGGGTGAGCTTTGTATGGATTCTTCTAGTCTCGATGAGGATAGAGAAGTATTATCTTGTTTTTTATCTTTATAGGTTCTATCTACAGGGGAGAAGAAACTCGATGTTTCTTTTTCTACTTTCTGATCCTTTTTCTTATGCTTTGTTATAGGATTCTTTTCTGTAATTTTTGTAGCCATTTTTCTTCCTTCTCTTTCTCAATTTCTCCCTTTTTCCACCTTTCTGTTCTACCTCCTTCTTTAATAAAAGGGAGTGGGGGGCAATAAGATTTGTATGAACAAGAGAAGAAAGGAAATAAAAAAAAAAACAACCTGCTGCAACAACCTGCTGCAAAATGTTTTCTTTGTGAACATAAATCAGACTGTTTTGTCAGTCCTTTTTAATTTTGTGCTAATTCTGGATCAAAAAATTCCTGCTTTTTGCTTTTATTGTTTTCTCCACATTTATTATTGCTTTTAAATGTAGATTCCCCTTTTTTCCATTTGTCTATTTCCTGTTTCTTTCTTCCCCATTCTCCTTTCTTTTCCTTTCCTTCTTTCTTCCTCTTTCCTTTTTCTTACCTTCTTTCTGCTACCTTCCTTCTCCCCTTTCTTTCACCTCTCTTCTTTAGTAAGAGATGTATGTTCCCTTAAATTTTAAGGCTTGTAACTCACACCACACGTGTTTTAGTACCTTTTTAAAGCTAGTCTCACTCACCCAGAATGCAGTTTATTTCCTTTGCGTCTGTTTGTTGTACCAGCTTCCACATATCCTTGTTACACACCGCTGTTTAACTCGAGCTGTAAACAATACTTTCCTCGGTATCTCGAACGTTGTCTCAGTGTCTCAGCGTGTCCACTGCTTGTTCGCGGTCATTCCCCCATTAAAACTCCGCCTCCCCCTGCTTCTGGATGCGTACGTTCAACCGCCTACGTCATCACGTACCGCTTACATTTTATAATATTCTATTTCTTAATAAATTTATTGAGAGCTCTAGAGAGAGACATGTCCGAGAGTCATCAGAAACTGACAAAATAAACTAGTCTCATTGAATGCCCGTGGGATTAATTCACCATTTAAAAATTTACACTTCAAGAAACTTACTGGAAAACATCTGATAAAATCAGTATAGATATAAAAATCTATGCAATAATCATAAGTGAAAAAAAAATAGAGGAGTTGCTTTTATGTTCTCTAAAAATGTATCTCTAAATATTAAATACCAATAATTAGATCAAGAGGGATGACACATCGTTTTAGTGTGTGAAATAAACAAAAAAACATTTTCATTTCTATACACCAAATAAGTCTCTAATAAAATTTAATGTAAAAATATTTTTAAAAGAATTGACAAATCAAACAGGGGGGAGTTCTAATAATATGTGATTTCAATTGTGTATTAGACCAATCTAAATATAGAAGAAACTCTAAAGAGATAAAAGTTAGAAAATTAACTTCTGACATTTCTAAATGTGTTAACAAATTATAATATCATAGATATATGGAGAACATTCCACCCCTGTGAGATAGATTTCACATGTTATTCTATCAAATGTAATCCTTCTTCCAGAATTGATCTTATTTTAGAAATGTGGCCATGCTCTATCTGGTTAAAAAAAATTGTGTCCCAATTCCCAAAGTCAATAAAGATCCAGAGTTGATCTGTAATTA